CGAAATCTAAAGATCTCAAAAACCATAAAGTATCTCGGACTTACATGGGATCAGGGTCTCACATGGCTGCCCCACCTTCAAGACCACAAGCGAGTCAAGACAGCAAATATAGCTAAGAAAGCCAGACAATTCCAGGGAAGAAACTGGGGTGCAAAACCCTCACATACAGAAACTGCTATATCTAACGGTAGCGGAGAGAATTGTTCTTTACGCATCGGCTATATGGGCGCAACCAATGAGCAGTCGCAAGATCAAACTCTTGACAACAATACAACGGCCATTTGCTAAACATAAGTAGGGCATATAGGACAACGGCATCAAGTGCAATAACGGTCCTTGCGGGACTAACACCCCTGCACATAAAGGCCAGCATAGAAGCTGCATATGAGCGCCTAATTAGGCTAAAACAAGATGCCAACTTTGCTGGCACCGCCTTCCATGCAACACAGTATGAATTACCAGGGAGTGTGCAGTATGTGCACCCGGCACACAAAAGTAAAGGCATCCATGTCGTGACAGCACAACACCCAACGCCTCTCAGAGAAACTCCACATGTGAACTCACGATTCTACACCGATGGATCAAAGCATGACAATGGAGTGGGATGCGCCTTCGTTCACTTCAAAAATGACCGAGTGGAAAGCAAATGGAAAGGCCATCTCGCTACCCACAACAGCATTTTCCAGGCAGAAGCTGTGGCAATAGCAGCTGCAATTCAGTATGCTCAGGATATCAATCTAGCAGCAACCGAAATTCACACAGACAGCATGTCAGTGCTACAGGCAATCATGAATCACCACCATACCTCACCCACAATTATAGCAATCCAACAGCTCCTGCGTAACAATATGCAAACACACATCAAACTAATCTGGGTGAAAGGACATGATGGCATAGAGGGTAACGAGATGGCAGACCAGTTAGCAAACGAGGCGGCACTCAACAACGACGCGCAAGAGGTGACAACTCCAATCCCGACTTCGTATTTAAAGCGAAAGCTAAGAGAACTAAGCAAAGAACAGTGGCAACAGGAGTGGGATAACTGTGATACAGGAAGAAGGACACATGGATTCTACCCAATAGTAGACAACGAACGTCTCCAGGCCATTGCACCCTTGACATACTATATCACGGGGCACGGCCCATTTCCATCCTATTTTCAAAGACATGCAATTTCGATGACAGATATATGCGTCTGCGGGGTAACTGGTTCCCCGACCACTACATATTTGAATGCAGCTTTACATGCAACTTACACCTACCACTCCCAGCCACAAATATAGAATCATATAAACGATTCATCATTAAGCACCCACCAGCGGTCAAAAAGATCTGCCAAATAATTAGGCAGGTCAACGACCCTAGGGCAAGATATCTGCCAACCAAACTAGCGTCAATTAAGGCGTCTCATAAAGCAACCACAGTCAGCTTTCACCAAATCATCAACAGAATTCTGACAGTCTCTTATACTGACAATCAGCTGAATGCAACTTACAATATGTTTAAATTATGTGCTGCGCTTATAACATAAACTGCACTGCAACATAACTGCAGACATAGCTGCTTACTGCGTACAGTACTCACTTACGGCGTATAGAGCAAACTACTGACTATGAACAGACTGCTACCTGCATTTGTGTCTCTGTAGTAGTTACAACGACTGAAATATCTATAGAAGTATTTCCTGGAATAACCACAGTTATTACAACAACTGCAAGTTATATATCAGTGTATAAGGTACTGTGCGCAGAGTAATTGGAACGCCCTGACAAATCGTGTACAGAACTTATCAACAGTGTACAGAGCTCAACACTGACTAATCACAGATTACTACTTGCATGTCCATGCTAGTCCATGCTTAACTGAACAGTGTAGAACAAATGTGTATCCGACTTTGCATTGTGTAACCATTCTGTAAGCATTGTGTATATAACAAGCATCATGTATCTATTACAATACTAATATGCACTGTGTATTCTACAACATAGTGTTTCTCCTACAGTCATTGCCAGTACTGTATTACACAAACGCGTTATACAAACTATCTGCAATAAATATGCACCTCATTCTGCACTGAATTTGTCAAATTCTGCACAGTATCTGCTGTATATAAAGCATATAATTACTATGCAACTATCTACATTGCGTGTGCACTACCTGCAATACCTTACAACCTGTTGTGTATCTGACTTTGCACTGTGCATTTGTTCTGTGAGCAATGTGTATATAAAAAGTACTGTGTACCTACTTTAATCCAATAAACACTGTGCATCTAATATAATATAAAATAAGCTCAGCGCATTCTATAACATAGTGTCTCCACTACAGTTATTGCCTGCACATCATATCTGTATTACTCAAACTATCTGTATTATATCTGCACTGTATATGACATATGCATAATGTATAATTCATCTATATCTATCAATATTGTATCTGCATTACCTGTATAATCTCATAGCTTCGCATAGAAATATATAGCTTGGCAACATAGCATGCATGGTGCTGCGTACTATAATTGTGTGTATACAATAGTATAGATTTTTTTTTTAATGTGTAAGTATAATTGTGTTTATATAATTGTGCACAATTGTGCTATATACCATAGTATAGTGTTTTATTCTGCGTTTTAATACGTTAATATAATTGTGTTTGCATAATTGTACACCATAACTGTGTTGTATATAGTAGTATAGTGTCTTATTTCGTTTGTACAATTGTGCGCAGTATAAATTCTAATATCTAATGCTTTACAAGCATAGTGTATCTGTTTTTACATTGTGTATCAATTCTGTAAGCATTATGTATATAAAAAGCGCTGCATATCTATTCAAATTAAATAAGTATTGTGTACCTGATATAACGTATTGCATAATGTATTCTCCAGAGTAAAGTTTCATCTGTAATTACTATATCATCTAATAACAAAATTTCATATTCTACAGTGTGCCTGCATGCTTTATGTATGTTTATTTGCGCATTTTACATGTGATATGTGATCTAAATGTGTCTAAATGATCTAAATGTGTCTTTAGTGTAAGTGTATACTATATATTAGCTTAAATATGTTTCATTATAAGTATGTGTTTTACTTGTATAAGTGTGTGCAAACTAGTATCTAATTTCTATTTTTATATAATGTGCTTACATGTTTTATACGTGTTATATATGTGCTTTTATATGTGTTTTACAAGTGTTTTGTATGTATCTTTATATGTGCAATTGTATGTACTTGTATGTGTATGTATATGCTGTAATTAGTGTCTAACAGTGTATAAAAACCAAGATGTAACAAATCATCCGCCTATCGATCAAAACTAATGTATTCCTAAGACGCTTCTGTATGGCCATGTACAATTACGTAAAATTCTTCAATAAACTCCCAAGGTGGCCTCATGAGGCTCCTGGGAGTTGCTGCCACTAGATAGGGGAGGGCGCGGGACATATGCCTGTTTACCTCTGTTAAACATCAGGCGTCCCCGTCCTCCGTCACCTGTCACCACCTGTCCGTCTAGCATAAGTAGGGATCTTACCGGGAAGTCTCATGCATCTGCGAAGATTTCTAATTTCCAACCGCTTTAAGGTATGTGTATGTGTGATTATGGCAAAGCCTCGAGGGCTATCTGCCTAAGGGGAGGGATGCCTTCGTGGGGGACTTTCTAAGGGAACTGGCTCGTATACACGTTACACATGGGGAAAACCACGAAAACGCCCATGCAGCCAGCCCGTTCGCAGGATTCGAACCTCGGACCGAACTACCAGTGTTCAACGACTTTACCGCTCGGCCGCTGGTGGGCCTGTCCACCCGCTTTAAGGAATTTCAATACTAGGGGTTGATTTAAAGCTACTTTCAATTTTTCGAAAACTGTGTGCGCTTCAGTCGACCAGGTAAACCTGGCTCTCTTTCTGTTTAAATGTAGGAGTGGGTCCGATCTGTGGGCAAAGTCTTTGATGAGAAGTGTTCTTATAGCAGCACAACTCAAAAAAATGAGGCCAACCTTTTTTTTTTTTTTTTTTTTTTTTTTTTTTTTTGGTAATTAGGGAGGGTAATTTTTTATTGCAACAATTCTTTATTGCAACAATTTTGAAATTTTCCCTCTCGATTCCCGAGATAACTTAGAGCCGAAATAACGAAGTACTTTGGCAGCAAATTTTAATTTATCCGTGTTTACTTTTAATCCTGCTTCTTTTAAAAGCGAAAACACTTCGTATAAATCCCGAATAAGTTCATCTATTATGTCGCTAGTAACTGTTATATAGTCTAAGCAAGTAAATGTACATTTTTCGAAAACAAGTCTTAGTATAATATGCGCAGTGTACTGGAACGTAGCAGATGCTCTGTATGAGCCAAACGGCATTTTCAGAAAGGCATAAACTCCTGATTTGAATATAAACGCGGGTTTTTACCCATTCCCTGGTTTCACATATATTTGAAAATATCCAGGGTTTAGCGTCGTCATGTATTTTGTTGATTTAATTTTTCGAGTAATGTCCTCTTATTGTCAATGATAGGCTGGACATCTTGTTATGGTATTTAGCTTTCTATAATCAACTGCGAAACTTCATGATTAAAAATCCATCGGTGAAAGATTATTTTTTTTCCCAGTGAACTACCGGGCTAGCTTAAGGGCTGCTTATGAGAATTATTCTTTTTATTTTTTAACATTTCTTCAATACGTTTTTCAGTTATCTCTTCTTGATATGAAATACCAATATCGAATTAATTATAAATTACAGATTTTTTCCTCTTTCATCAAAGTCGACAAAATCACCAATTTTAAAATAAATAAAAAAAATTTGTAACCATTAAGGAAAGAAAAACAATACCTGTTAATTTTTGAAGCATATCATATCGTAAGTTTAATAGAGTTTCAATTTGAGATATATCTGAATATATCATTTCCTCCTCGGCTGATAAGAGTCTATTTGAAACGGCAAGGTGATAAGTCATTCCTGTGTTATATAGATATAGATTTCTCACGGTCACAATTTTATCTCCTTCCTTGACTTTCGAACCATTGAAAATAAAAATCGGTTTCGTTTGTCACTTAAATTTTGCTACCATTTTTTTAAAACACAACGGAGCATATAGCTGATTTGCGGCCTAGGTTTTAAATTTAAGCTATGGAGGTGAGAGTTGTTAGCATGATTATCTGTTTAGTAATAACCTGCGACTACTGTCTTGGATATTCTAACAGAGGTAATTTTACTAAATAACGTTTCCGTGTACGCAAACATCTAACGCCGTTTGTTTTAGTATTATTTCAAAAATTGATTATTAAGTATTTCATTAACTCGCTTAATATTTTTCAGCTCATAAAAGTAGATTCAGTGAAGTTAACTTTTTAACGTATTTCCCGTATAGTTTTTACAAATTCCAGGTCATATCGATGGTGTTTTCAGAGCTCTGTGAGCTACACTAGGGTGTGGCTTTTGGTGCTTTTTGTGGCTTCGTGGTTTTAGGCTTTTGATATTCCTAATTTTTATGCTATGTTATATTGAAACTATTCTTAGAGTACTATGTTATAAAAAATTTGACCTTATTATATTTTTTTTCATAATAAACCATTTATGTTTCTCTAAATTATTGTCATGGCTTTTAAACTTTGTAGCCTATTTACGTAAAGTACGAACTTTATTTTTTAGGAATACTAATAAAATGCTGAAATCCGGAAAATTTTCAAAAAGTAGTAAATAGAAAAGCAGGAAAAGAGTATTAAGAACGACGGGAAAATGCTAAAAGTTTAGCATTTCAATCTTTGTGCCAGTGCTGTATGAAAAATGTTCGTTGAAAATATTTAGAAAAAACACATAATATTAAGAACTAATTAAATGTAAATAAAATAAATCGATATGAAATTATTCATTTGAAAAATAAGCTTCTCTAATCAAAGGTTTTAGAATTATGAATTTTTTTGAATAGGAGGTAAACAAGGCAAAAACATTTTGTATTAACATACACAAAATGAGATACTATATCTAAAAATAAGTACCAGATTTTTATGTAAATTTTTCACGTTTCACTTAATTGATTTTAGAGTATCACTACCGTATCATCATAGATTAACTAATTACAAACAGCTATCCGGAAGTGGTGTCAAAAATCACCCAGTCTAATGAAATATGAATCTAAATGTTGTATTTGTAAATCATTATAAGAGATGTCTCATTTTTACTTTCACTTAACATGTATATTAATTTGTCATACAAATTTTAGCATGATTTTTAAAAGAATATAATTACGTTTTATATAAGATAAATATGTATTTACGTATATTCCATAAGGTATTTTCTCGCTCCTTTCTGCATGCCTTCGTGGTGCAACGGCAGCAAACTCGGCTCATATTTGAAAGGTCCAGGTTGGAGTCCCTGCGAGGGTATTTCTCATTTTTCATGGCTCCAGCATTAAAAAAACCTAATGACTCTACAGTGGCGCCTGAACTAAAAGGTGGTGGACAATAGTTGATCACCACCATGATTTGGCGATTGGGTCTCCTAATCCCCAGTCGCTCTTAAAAGGGGAAATATATAAGGTATTTTCTTCCTCCTTCTGGCATGCCTTCGCGGTGTAACGGTTAGCACACTGTGCGCGTATTCAAGAGGTCTATGTTCGAGTCCCGGGGAGGGCATTGCTCATTTTTCATGTCTCCTGCTTCAAAATAAGAATTCAAAGTACCAATAAACTATACAATTCTTACCTATATACTATATACAAGATTAACACACATATACTCTTAGAAACAAGAATGACACGGAAAATATTTGGGCTTTATTTTTAGCTAATTTTGCTAAATTACTTAACTATTCAGAAATGGTAAATTTGCAAACGGAATGTTCTCAGAAAGAATTAATTTAACAAGGAAGTTTACATTTGATTTCTACTTTACGCTTCGCATAGCGGTTGGTCGAAATGCTTGTTCAGCTGGTGCTGATAAGTAAAGAAAAGACATTACATCTGCTTTTTAAACTGCGAAATATTTGTTCTCCTACAACATTTTTAATTTTGAATAGTTTTTAATCTAAAAATTCATGAATTCTAAAGTTTTTCCAGACTTCTAGATTTTATATAATTTGCCATTCTATATGCTAAATTCTTCATAATTATTTTCATTAATTACACTAGGAAAATTAATGCAAGTAATAGGGTACCGATGATACTTTCTTTCTTTTCACCATCGACGGAACACCTGGCCCACTGGGTTAGGTGCGATATGATACTGTAATAACAATCTAATTTACACGCTTTAGTATTCAGCATCACGGAATTTTATAGGATCTCTGAAATTTATTCTTTTAAATAAATGGCTAGGATAGAAATATTTCACTTTTAAACGCTTTTTTGAGGTTTTATTTAGAACTTCTCTGTTACGTAATCTCAGTTTAGATGGAATTATATTCTCGACTACCGATATGTATCTTTTAAGGATAAATACTGATAATTTATGTGTTTAGCTACTGAATTTGTAACATATTGAGTTTTCATGAAATATTTTATAATCAGTTCATTTTATTTTCTACTAATGAATTAAGGGGTTAGGGCCTTTAAATGCCACTACCTACCAGACGGGAAAATAGTTAGTGATCCTGACTGTCGTGCCGAAGAGCTCGGGTTCAAATCCCGGCAAAGGCATGGTTATAAATCGTCTGTCCTTTCATAGGAGGTAACGGTGGCTCGCCTATTACGTGCCTCCATCCATGAAGGATGGAGGCACGTAATACGTGCTAATTACGTGCCTCCATCCTCCATCCTTCATGGATGGAGGCACGTAATAGGTATCAATCAATCAGTAATAGTAATCCAACAGTAACACAATATATTACCTCACATTATGTGACCATCGCTTCCGGCGTTAGTAGTGGCTAACGTCTATGGTGGTTTGTGTCCGCCATTGGAAAAAAAAAAAGGGAAGTCACTATGTCAGTTGTTGCGGAGTGAATGCTAAGGAGAAGATATGCCTTATTTAAAGAATTTGTAGTTCTTGAAATTGATTTAGTTTGTTTAACATCATTTTTAAGGTAATTCATGTATCTAATTCTAGCGTTGTCTTTGCTGTTATGATTCGAAAGGAAGTACTAGTTCTGTTGATTAGGGTATTAGAATATTAAAGTCTTTTAAAAATTGCTATCAATAAATTACATCCTGGTTTTGTAATAAAAAAAATCAAACAGTAACACAATATATTTTTTGAGCTGATTTCGTATTAAAAAAATTTGTTTTTATGTAGAAGGAAACTAATAAAACACTCTGTTCTTTAAGATGCAAACGTAACCTGTGATATTCGCTGGGTATACATTATTAGCCCAAGTTTGCAATGGTCCCTGATTTTTCCTAAAAACATTCGTTTCCAATTCTGTAGCTGCGGAAAGGAGCATAATACCTTTAAATAAATAAATAAATGCTAAAGTTTTACAAGTTCGCACAGCACATCAGTTTTACTAGATAGAGTATAGTTATTTTACCTTTTGTTATGTAATTCAAACAATAAAATCTGAAAAACAAAATTGTATGTTTATTTAGCCCCTCGTAATTTTCATTTTGCGATAAAATTTTGTGTATCATAAATAGACGTCGTAGGTATTGCCAGTTAATGAGGCATAACATCTTTTCTGTTAAAAAATACATTGCTCATTACAGCGTAAAATAACTGGTATACTATTAGGAAACTCGAGACAATAAGTATAATATTCTTTCAGGCGCCCTCAATATCAGCTTTCCTTATTTTTACGCGTGAAAAACAATGTTATGAGGAATTACAAGACAATTTTCATGCTTCTTAAAATATGAAGTCTTTCAGGTCCCAAAGATAATCGTGTAAAACTATAATTTTATCTGCACTTCCTAATATTTTACACCATGAGTATCATAAGTAAATTAAGCTTCTAACACTTTATTACAGCTATATTGCAAAATTTCTAATTTAGCTTGTGCACGCTATTGTCTACTCGTAAAGCCGATACAACCAATGCAACTGAACCAGACGCAAAAGTTTTAGAATATAGGGATGAGAAATTTGAATGGCAGAATTTTAGAATCAATAGGATTGCACCGGACGGCAATAAGCCTAGCACGAAACGGGTCTGCATTTGAAATAAAATCTAGTTATGATGAAATTTCACAGTACATATGGATTGAAAGTTTCTATACATGTAATGTAATTTTAAAAATTTTTTCAAAAAATAAAATATTTTTAATATTTTAAAATTGCACCATTTCATATTCAAAAAAGAAATGCGATACAAATGCCAGTGCATTTAAAATAGAAATTCTTTCTAGTTAAAAGTTTATCTTTCATTTAAGATTAAAGATATTCGTAAAATGACATCAGAAGATAATCTAATAAATAAGGGCGAAATATGTGTATTATTTTGAATGGAAGAATATATTTTAATATTCAGAAAATTAATTATTGTACTATCTGGGAATAACGCCCACAACATAATAATTTTTGCAAATTAGTCAGAAAATGATTTACAGTTAAGATTAACACAATTAAATCATATGTACCCATAACTACACAGTTTTCGATAAAGAAAATATATGTTTTCTTTTGTCTCATTTTCAATGAAAAATAAGTTTTCATCACCTGTTTCCCCCTTCTTCTCTTTGCTTCTCACTACTTTAACTAGTTTGGAAACGAACCGTACGTGGCTCGGTGGTCTAGGGGTATGATTCTCGCTTAGGGTGCGAGAGGTCCCGGGTTCAAATCCCGGCCGAGCCCATTTCCGTTCTTCTTTTTTCTTTACTTTTCTGTGATAATAGCTAAATTAAAAATTTGCTCCATTTTTTTCTGATGTGTTATTGCTGCTGTTTCAAATAGCAGAATTCTTGCAACTTAAAGTATTCCTTTTTCATTGATATTCTTAATAGTATTTGAAAGCTCAATATAAAACAAGCCATTTTTTAAACACCTTGAAATATATGTTAATGTATTTCGTAAACTAGCAAAATAGAAATTAATAATAATTTACAGGGCACAGACTTACAGGGATATTTATTATAATTCTCTTATCTAATAAATAAAATGCACACTACGTCCAGATTAAGGCTTAAAATCCTTGAAATAACAGCTCCGTTAAGGGGCTGTGACCGAATATGAAAACAAATAAAAATAAAATAAATAAGTAGTAATGCCTCACTGTTAGTGATGCATTACTATTTATTTATTTTCAGGCATATCAGCGATAGCTTATGCAGGACTAAATTACAACTGGCTAGCTTATGCAGGCCTAAATTATAATCGGCTAGTAGGACAAATTATAATCGGTAGTTATGCACGATGTACTGTTGCGAGCTATGAGCTCGTTAATGTATCTTAAATGATCATTCCAAATATGTATCGAGAAATAGACAATATAGTATAAAAACTCACCCACACAGCAGAATAAATAGCTGGAAATAGCTCAGTTCGTTTGATGTTTATTTTCATGATGTTTTTAAGCGAACAGGACGCTGACAGTTTGGGTCATGTCCCAGCTTTAAAATATATATATAAAAAGAAAAAATAAAATAAATAAAATACAAGCCTCTCCCCCCAAAAAAATTCTGAAAGGTTTCAGATTTTAAATTACGTTCAAAGGGGCGTTTTTTAGCGTTTTGTGTGTTACCTTTATTTATTAAATATCATATTCTTTGCACTTAAACCATAAAAATCAGTTCAGTAGCAATGTCGCAAAATAATTCTAAAATGAGCATATCTTTAGAATTTTCTATACACGGCCACTGGAGATAAAAAAGTTTTTCTTTTCCCCCCGTAGAATGTTGCCATTGCTCCCTTTTAAATCGTTGACTTTGTTACACAAAAAATTCGAAAGTTTTGCAAAATGTGAAACCGATAATAAAACACATTTTTAATTTCAAATTTGGTCTTCCACATGCCCATATTCGCAGGGGGATTACGTCATTCAAAATTCGATAGCTCCATGTATCGTTGTTTTATCACAATGCGAGAAATATACATACATTTATGCAGATTTTTCATTATTTAATTTCTTCAAATATAATGCAGGACTCTAACATTTGGTGGCAACAGTTTGAAAAGTGAAACGGACATTTATAGTGATTCGACGCAAAATCGCAAAACGAAAACAATAGTCCTTCAAGGATAAAGCCCCTTTGGACTTATAAATATAAATTTTTACATTAATTCTCTTTGAAAGAATGTTTTCAGTAGCTAATTTTCTCTCGTGTTACAGATTGTTTAAAAAACATGATCTTTAATACGATTTAAATTGCTTGCAGCCGATATAATAATCAGTCACTCGGTGGTACAGAATAAACACTACTGGACTGTTTTATTTGTTTGTCATTTAGCAAAAAACCTTTTAATTAAAATATTTATCCTTTGGACTTTGCTTTAAACTTTATTTATAGTTAAAATGCCTAGAAAATCAAAAGCTGTCTTCAGCTGGAAACGCAAATAATGTAATTGATATTTTAAAAAATTTGACAAGAATGCAAAATTTATGGAAGTATAACAATCGAAAAATCTTAATTTTTCTTGTGTGAGCTGAAAATAAATGTAGAAGGAAAGAAAACTAGGGAGAAAAGTAAGCAAAAATTTGAAGGGGAATTTGGCTGTCAGAAATACCAAGGTGTTTCGAAAAGTTGGATGCTTTTTAATGTATTTTCAGAATTCTTCAAGGAATTTGGGTGTTCAAAGAGAAAATACTTGGACGTGTACACCAACAGATATCATCGATTGAGCTTGTGCTAACGGAAAAGACTAAAACGATGTCATTGTAGATTAAAGTGAAGAACGAATGTTTTTCGACTATATAGTTGTATAAATTTAAATTACCTTATCATATCATCATAAACGGAGAATCCCATGATTTCTCAATTGAATTATTTGAATATTCAGGAATTTATCCAGTGATGTATGTGGATGTTACCTAAAGACGTTTTCCCTCTTGATGAAACCAGTCTTTCCTTTCATCTCATGCCTTCAAAATGCTTAGCCTCTAAAGATTGATAAAGGCTCTGACTAAGTACTGATGAAATGGATTGATTTGGATTATTGAATTACGGGAAGGCAGGGCTATCTGTCTAAAAGAAAGGATGCCTTCGTGAAGAACTTTCTAAGGGAAACCAGCTAGCATACACTTTATACATGAGAAAAACACGAAAAGAACCATGCAACTAGCCCATTCGCCAGGATTTGAATCCCGGAGCGAACTACCAGTGTTCAGCGACTTTACCGCTCGCGTTTGTGGAAGTCGATAACATCATTTAAAATGAATGTCAGAAATATCAAGATGTTTTGAAAAGTTGGACGCTTTTTAACATACTGGCAGAATACCTGAAGAAAAGGAGTAAGCCATTAAGAAGAAAAATAAGTTTTTGCATAAAATTTAGTATTTTTAAAAATTTAAAACTATTTAAATTTATGATATTTGATTCTTGCGATTTAAAAAAATAAATATTTTATTAAAATATGAATAACATTTTAAGAAACTAAATGTAGAATGATAAAATTGTGTAAAGCAATGAACACAATGATAAAGCTGTATGAAGAACTTAATCTAATGAGTTTCTAAATTATATATTTATATTCTGCAAATACAAAGAGTTTATAATTAAATCATTGTCCTTTTTTCCCCAATTTATAAATGAAAGCTATAAGCTACAATATAAATAAGAGAGATGTATAGCCGACAAAAAGCAATGTATGCAAGTTATCCTAAGTTAAAATGTCGGCTATACATCTCTCTTATTTATATATCTTTTCTGACCGGAACACTGAAAGGCGTTATCCCAATAATATGTTTGTCCTGTGTTCAGTTACTATATTCAAGAAAATTAACCATCTTAATTGGTAGACTAACTGGAGAGTTACCGCTTTGTTTAGAAAAATGATTCACATAATTCCATTGTCTTATAGAATCAATAAGATAATCACTTATTTGATTGTGTCATTGTTTTGCTTTTTATTTCAATTTAATCCTTCCTCCCAAACCAGCAGTATGAAGAATTTAATCTAATGAGTTTCTTAATTATATATTTATATTCTGCAAATACAAACAGTTTATAATTAAATCATTGTCCTTTTTTCCCCAATTTATAAATGAAAGCTTTGAAAAATTCTTATTCTTACATTTGCACACTTTTACAGAAGATTCTATATTCACTTTGACTGGAAAGCAGGAGAGTTCTTCTACGACTGATCCTGATGAATTATGGCCTAGCGCGCAGACCGAAGCTTTAGATGGTCCAGCTAAGGGTGGGAAATGGAAAAACAAAATTCCACGTTGGAAAATAGGTGGACACTCCTATCGACATCGTAAAACTAGTTCCTCCAACCTGGATGCTGTACCTACTTATGTATGGATTATTATAGGAATGTTAGGATCAACCTTAATAATAACCTTTGCTCTTTATATGTACTGGAAGTTAGTCCTGGATAGAACCGTACAAGCAGTTGATGTCTGAAATATTAAAAAAAAAAAAAAAAAAAAAACATGTTTACTGTGAGTTTAGTATATGAAATTTATACATTACATTAACTCGCATGATTGTAAATATCGTAATTAAAAGTGTTCAGTTTTTAATTATACAATAATTTATCTGTATTTATTAATTTTATTAAGTTATGCGCTCAAATAATGATGCATCAAAGTAAGTAAAATCAAGGCTTGAGCATATAAGACGCTAAGCTGTTATGCAAATAGCCATTTCCATTCCAATTCTATTAATTTGATGATTGCGATGAAAAGATTGAAATTTTTTGTTGAGTTTCATCCCAAGTGAATTTGCTGAAAAGTCTAGGAAAAATTTCTTGAAGAGATTTTTTTTGCAAATGTATTTTTAAAGCGTTTTGCATTTGTGATGCTTGAGTTGACCGCTGTTTGGAAGAAAATTCAAGTTTGAAATAATCAGAAATGCTTTTAACTGTCATGCAGAGGAAGGAGATATGCAACTCTTACTACTTTATAGACTTTACATCACAGATCATAGATATCCAATCTTTCGGAACTTATGGGCCATACAGGTGAAACATTATGCGCCAAGGGTCTCATACAGAATTTAATATTTATTAACTATTACAAAATAACCGCCCAGACGGTATAGTGGTTATGGGAGTCTGACTGGGATACCAAAGAGCCCGAATTCAAATCTCGGCAAAGGCATGGATGTAAAATTGTCTGTCTCTTCATAGGTGGCAGCCCATTAGGTGACTTCACAATAAAATGGCCACCACTTTTGGCCTTAGTAGTGGCCAATCCTGTTACAGGCAAGTACCCGCCATTGGAAGGAAAAGAAAACTATTACAAAATATCCTTATGTAGAGGTTAATTTCTAAAATTAGAAATTTCGAAGTACCGTTGAAAGTCATAAGGAACGTGGAAGAAAAATAAATAAGTAAAACAAAAAAAGCAATATAATTAATAATGTAATTAAAAATTCAAATTCAATAAATTCAATAAATGTATGTCTTGTGAAAATTTGCTGTGAATTAGATGAGTTCTTCTTTTAATCAAATAAATTTATTTAAAGATATAGAACGTCAACCCTCTTTTAGCTGTTTATTGTTTCATAGAACAACAAAGAGGTTACATTTGCATACACAGAAAAGAAACTTAAGAGTTTGGGCGTCATGGACATGTAAAACAGCAACCATGGAAGCCACATGACGCCCATCTTTTGACTGACTGGCGTTGCAATCAAAACCCTTATTAAACATCAGTATGAATTAATACAAAATACAACTGTTCTTTGTATATCAAATAAATATATCAAGTTATACAAGAATAATATTAACTATTAAAGTTCATACAAACCATAGTTCACATACACTTCTGTTGAAATCTCCCAAGTAATGTAACAATTCTGAAACTTAGAGTGGCTCTCACATCTCTCTTAGCCGTCAAACGAAGGCAATTTTCTAACTTCGGAGCATCGGCAGTCAATACATTTTGATCTAGATCAAAAACAGTTGGAACTTATTGCATGGTCTGTAATTCTGGATGTGAAACAATAGAAGTGTCAGTATCAGAAAAAGTGAATTACATTTTCTCTCTAACGAATATATTTTCCGAAGCGTTCGAATTATTTCTTCCATTGCAGCTTTCAGTCTTGAAGCTTGAATGTCGCCATTCTCTTCTGAATAAAGCTTTTAAAAATCACTTTGTATATGAACTTTATTATCAGCGTGAGTTTGGATATATTTAGTGCCATTTTTTTGTTTTAGCAGTTGTCCGAGATACTCCACACGAAATCTCTGTCTGAGATTTCTCTCATTTGAAGGTTATCTCCATCGTTTCTTTAAATCCTGTTTGCCAATTAGATCTATGTCTGTTACTCCAACTGTCAGAATATCCTGAAAATACATGAAAGGCGTCAGTGTAATTAATTTGTCGAGATCCTCAGAAATATTTGTCAAAGAGCTGGAATTAACAGTAGTTTCGCATTCGCACACCGGAAAAAAATTCATCAACTCTTCGTAATTCAACGAAGCTCTTCCTAAGACTCATCTTAAGAGATTTTTCATGTTCCCAATGAGGCGTTCCCAAAATCCAGACCGCTGAAGGAGGGCTGAATTTCCACTGTATTCCTTTAAGCTTTACGTCTTATTTTACAAGAGACTAGTCAATGAGCTGAAATAAATTTCCTGCGCCAACGAAAAAAAAAAAAAAAAAAAAAAATTCAAACTCTTGTAATTATAGTTTATTTCTGAGCGATCCCGTAAACCAAGAAGTCTTCTAAAACTGCAAAGAAAAGCTTTGGTTGATGAAGATGTGACCAACTCTACATACATGCGCAGTGCAATGCACCACGCAAGTGTATAAAACAACACATGCTTTTCCTTCTCCTTTCAGTGTCAAAGGTTCAGAGAGATCCACTCCTGTAACTTCTAAAATCGAATTATTTTTAATTCGGCCCTCAGACAGAGGAGCTGGTGGAGTTTCTAGATGTCACGAATTGAGTCTCCTACATCTTACACATCTCTGGGCAATTTAGTAAACAGGATTTCGCCCGTTAATAATCCAAAACCTCTCTCCTCAATAAGATAAGAAAATGCGTACTTCGGAGTGCATCATTTTCAATGCAATTCCCTAATACGAAGCTCTGCCATTCAATTCTAGGAAAAATTATAGTGTTATGTTCGTGTGGGTTCGTAATGCATTGAACGTACACAAAATCTTGATGAAAAAAAAAAGCCAAATTTATTTTTACAAAAACACTTAACAGTTCCGAAACTTTTTACACAAAAGTACTCTTACAGTTCTTCTTAGTATAACTGTGCACAACCAGTAGTTACCACTTCAAACTACTTGAACATTGAACACAAGGCAATGCAAAGAACCTCAAATGGGCAAGCTAGCACGGTGATCTCTCGATACTCTGAACTCAATATTCTGATCTCTTTATACTGAAAACTGACGCTTCTTCGGTCTTATATAACACTGCTGGCCACCCAAATTGCAACACCAAGAAAGAAAGAGATATCACAACAAAATTCATTTAGTAGATAACATGTTGACCAAGTATCAAATGCTTCTGTGAAGTGTGGTTCCTTCCAGAATCAGTAGCCAGAGTAGCCGCCATTGTTGGAGATCACCGCTGCCACACGCCTCGGCATTGACTCAAAGAGACTTTGGATGTGTTCTTGGGGTACAGCAGACCAAGCAGCTTCCACACGTTGCCAAAGTTGATCTGGTGTGGCAGCTTGGGATGTAGATCCTCTACCCATCTCTACCGATTTTAGGAATTTTCCTTTAATTTCGTCAGGTACCTCTGAGTCCCAGCTCAGCTTAGATTTCCAGCTTACCCGAAGTATAAATTTCGATAACAACGTGATTGGAACTAAGAAACTACATCAGAAAATCCAAGTGGACCAAAAAACCGTGCGTGAGGAACAGTATGCTTCGTCTTGTAATAGGGTATAGATTTTTATCTGTGTTGGGTATAAAACATCTAAGCGTTCCGTATTGACCTGTTCCACCCTAAGGCTAATACAGATGACATCTTTGAATCAACACATAAGCCGTCACAATCTCCTTCTGATTCTTGAAAAACGGCACACTCCCACCCTCTTAGATGAAATTTGGCTTCTTCCATAACCTTTGTTGAAAACTCTATAAATTGCTTTTAATTCTTTCTTACTCTTAAATGAGGTGACGCAGTTTTCCACATAAAACCAAGTACTAAGCTTTTCAACAACTTTTCTAGCGAAAGATATTGAGTCAAGGTAGTCTTTCCATTTAGTAAAGATACCGAATATCTTTACTAAATGAAATTCTAAAACCGAACTTAATAAAAATGGACTGCAATTTAAGCCAAAACAACTCTAAAGTGTTGAAATGCCTTTATCTGCCCAGCTTCAAAAGTTTCAAATATTCACGATCTTGTTTGGCTACTGAAAATCCGAGAAAGGTCACATTAATCTTTTTAATTAAGGTCACATTAATCTGGATCTTCCAGGCCCTTAGCCAGGAGTCCAGTGCGTGGATGTGATTTTGTAGTGCTTGGATAACTGAGCTATGAGATGCGCTTTGTGTCAGAATTCCTGTATCGTCTGCATACATTGCAAGTGTATGTGGTGTGTGTGGGATGTCGTTCGTGTAAATATTAAATAAGATAGGGCCCAAAAGTCTGCCTTGTGGAACCGCAGCCCTAATAGGCCTGGGGAAAGAGATAGTGTGGTTGACACGAACAGCAAAGTGTCTATCTGTTAGATAGGAGTTAATGATGGCTGTGATGTAATCTGGGAAGCCCAGAGTGATTAGTTTGTATGTGAGGCCCTCCAGCTATACTCTATTGAAGGCCTTCGAGACATCTAAAAATATGGCACCAGTAAAAAGTTTATCCTGTAGCCCAGAAGAGATTATCTCTGCCACTCGGTATAATTGATGCACTGTTGAATGTTTTTTTTTAAAGCCATACTGCTCTGCTATCATAACATTGTTTCGCTCGACGTGTTCCATGACTTTCTGTAGAATTACAAACTCGGGAATTTTTCTGAGTGCAGAGAGTAGGCTCACAGTAATTCTTCGGATATGGAAGATTCAACTAAAGGGAACAACGTACTAGAATATTTATCAGAAGTCATGCCACTAGACTCAAGTGACCTCAAATAGAATTCTAATCATGAAAGTGAAATACCATCTGTCTGCCTTTAGTTTTACTATTCGTATTGTTTTTTATAACCAGAATGAAAGTTCTTGATCATAAAATTTCACAAGCAGTTCGTCACGATAGAATCTTGTTCATATGCTTTCAGTTACTTTTCTTGAGTTTATGGTAGCTGCGAAACTATCAACAGGTTTCTTTGCTGTACTACCGGGAGACATACACCAATAAATAATGGAATTTATGTGCCTTCTCCACTGATTTATTATCAGTAATTATGCTGAACTGATTAAAAGTTTAGCCAATCTTTTAATTTACCGCTACGTTTTACAAGATGAATTTTCGGAAGCTTCAATTTAATCTTATCAGCATTAAAGGAAGAGGAATTCTGTTATTCTAAATTAAAATGAGTTCTTAGTGTAAAAAAGAGTACCTCTTGGGTTGGCAACAATTAACCGAGCTACGGGCCAAAGTATTCTTAAGGTGAATCTAAACGGATCTCCTTAGTTTAGTGATCGATGTCTATTTTTAGAGATTTGTCTTTTCCTTTCTGAAAAGGAATCTATTCATTGAAGGAAGTATGTAGTTAATAGGAATTTAATTCCTATTTAATTCCTATTAATAGGAATTTAATTGCTATTCAACGTCAATGATAGAAATAATCTTTCATTTGCTACAGATGGATGAGAGAAGAATAGTACAATTTTAACTAGTGTTGTTAATTTAGAAAATAATTTTTCTTCGTCAATATCATTTCGAATGATATTGATGATCATCAATCATCAATCATTTCGAAAACTATTATAAGCAAAAATTTTGAACTTTATTCCTTGTCTGTATGTTTCAACGTTTGCCAACAACTTGTTTTAGAATAGCTAAAGCTCAACCATTGGGTGATAATTTTTTTAATCGGGTCGTTCATTTCATTGTCGGTTTATTTGAATTATTTGTATAAGTTATCAAGATTTCAGAAAATAATCCATAATCGCTTTCATTTATATCTTACTGATGAAGTTAAAACATGAGATAAAGACGATATTCATTGCCTTGGTAATTTAAATTTAGTCTCATTATTGTAGGGACGATTAATTCTATGAAAAAAGGGCCTGGATAAAAGTATTTTGTAGTTCATATAAAACTGAATATATTTTTTCGATACATCTTCTACTGTTCTTAATATAAAATAAGATATCTCATGCGTTTATATGTTGATATTACTTGGATTACTTGGAAGGGAAAGAAATATTAATTCTGTTGGTGAACATACAGAACACTCAAAATTCATGAAAAATTCTAGAACTGTGGAAGTACTATTAGAAGAAGAAATGATCACTTTGCATTCAAAGCAGAAGCACGATGTTAAATTATCAGTCTTATTTATGTACATCTTTGTGCTTTTATACTGATTCTCCAATGTCTGACAGTTCTTAGATAGACATGTAGCTTTTCCTAATAAGACCACCATAGATTACCTCCGCAAAAGGAATGCATGAAATCGATGTTTTTCCAGGAAGGCGAGTTCTGTATTCATGCAATAAAAGAATGTAATACAAAAAGAGGCGGCTCCAAGCATAGCCGACATAAGCAGATGGCTTAGGCAGCCGATTTTTGTCAAGTTATTCTCACAAGTAAAAACTAAATAAAAATTTTATTTAAATTAGTAACATGCTGAGTTCATGCAGTAGGCCATTTACACTGATCATCCATGGGGTACAAAGTACTACACCTGGGCCTATAAGCAGGAAACTGCAAGTACAAAGTCTATGTAATAGGCCCATTTAGCCTCCGGCAATCGATCAATTCGAGCACAAACACTTAGAATCTCTAAAGCTCATTAGCTAGGTTTATAGTGATGTGTTAGATTTTTAACGATAAAAAATAGCACCAACTTCGTAAATAGGCTTCTGTACTACAATTAGTTAAAATTTTATAATTTTCATTAGATTTGTCATTTTATTTCTTTAGATTTGTCAGTTATTCATTTACGTCTGTCATTCTGAATGGTATGAAGGTAAAGGCAGTCTGCATACGCCATTGAGCTCAGGATACAAAGTGCATAAATGTTGTTACTGATGGCAACTTTGCTAAGTGGAGCACTTTAATGCGGCATTTAATAAGTTATCCCGAGAGTCTTATGATATGACCCTCGGACTCCATTTTTGGGTGCTGTCGGTCAAAATAGGAAGAAAATTCTTGAGTGTTTCTACTAAATTAATAATCTAGTTCGTCCGTTTATGACTGTCGATGAAATGTCCCTTGAAATATAAATCATTTTCTTATTTTTTTCTAATTTTTCTAATCTACTGCTTTTGTTCTGTATATGAGTTAATGGCCAATCAATAACAGCTTCGTATTTTTTAAAAACATCTACCATTGAAATTTCGTAATTTACACTAAACATTAATGAAAATTCGGTTTACACCTATTCTGATATCAAAGAAAATGCATCGATTATGTATTATTTTCTTCAAACAGAAGGATTTGTAATCCAGAAACATAATTTGGCTTTACAGATGTGTATCTATATTTTATGAACACACGGAAACTACAATGTAACACGAGAAAAAATATAGATATGTATGGATAAAGGCTATGAATTATTTCTGCAATAAACAGGCATTTTTAACTTGAATAAAACTGAAAGTAGATAAAAAAATGCAAACGGAGGGGGAAAAATATTGACTCTTATTCACAACAATGTAATAGTAAATTAGAATTCAGGAAACTTGTGTTATTTGATTCGGTTCACGAAAATACCTCCAATAAATCCAAATAATAAAACTTATTAAAGACACTCCTCCTAGACTTCCTAGTATTATCCACGCGTAAGTAGGTAAGGGGCCAGCGCCAGATCCATACGAAGATCCACCACGACTGCGACGTCGGCTGTAATTCGCTCCAGTACTCCAAACTCCTGAGTTGTTATTTCCTGCTCCAGGTTTCCAGCCTCCAGAATTGCTACTTCCTTTCCTTATTGCACCCAAAACATCCGTCTCTGTATCATGCCATACTTCGCTAGAAGACATGTTTGCAGAACTATCCATCTCTTCATTTTGAATCAGATGATACTCTGTGTCGTTCCCTGCAAAAATACATGTGTCATTATATTTGAACAAAATTCACAAAAGCCCTTAAAATATTCAACTAGGTTACTCAAAAGAATCGTCTTTAGATATTTTTTGAGAATTAGGTATAAGAAGTACCTAATTGTCAAAAATTATCTAAATACGAACTCTTCATAGTACTCAAATAATTACAGCGTCAAACATGAGCGACACAAGGATTACAACCACGAAACTGCATGCTTATTGGAGATACGCACGTAATACCTGAACGCTCCAAAACATTTAAATTTTAATAGCCTGCTGTTGGTTAATGCAGGTTGAAGTAAGATCGGCGTAAGGTATATTAATTATAGCGGTCCTTACATCTGTTAAACTCCGCCCCAGTTTTGATGCATAAAATTCTGGTGGGCAGTCCGACGGACTCCTATTCCTCTTGCCTACCACCTACCATTCAAGAGGACTTTCGGCCAGTATTTTGAGCCCCTCTTATTGCACAGACTCTATGATAGAAAACCACTGAAGGCCCACGAATAAAGTCCATCAAGTCCACCTAAAGCTATATAACTATTCTCTATGAGGGTGGCCAAATGAAGAAGTCATTCGGAGTAAATCTCAGACTCATCATAAACTTGAAAATATGATATACAAAATCATATTCAATGCTTCTGTCCAATTTTTAAACAAAGCAGCAAAAATGCACTAGCTTATTAAAAAAAATGTGTGGAATGAGCTGGAGAATAAATAGTGAACGGTACACTAAATGTGCGAAGAATGCATACTACTAAAATAGATATTTGAGGAGGGGGCACAATTTTAGAGAGAGAGTGCCTTTTCACACTCTATGTATATTACATAGTTTTCTTGCAGCAACATAAACTAGAAAAACGAAATATTGTTAAAATGTCCTAAGAATGAGAAAACACATTTGTAATGATGTATTTCATTTATCGACATCTAAATTTAAATCCTTTATATGTTAGACGAGTGATCTGTCTTCCTTTAGTAGCTTTAGTATTATTGTACATGAAAAATGGTGATGTTAGACACTGGTATTAAAAATTGTTTCCTCCCCTCCAAAAGTATTGAATCAACACTAGAAAGTATGAATCAAATAATAATGCAGTACCGCTGATGGTGTATTAACGAATACATGATCACACTTATACGTTTAAATATTATTTACATGTTTCAAAAGTTTTCTTTGAAACTACCAAAACGATTTGCTGAAATTATGGCGTACATGCACAATTTAGTTTAAAAGAAATTCAGTGTACCGCGGGCCTTAACATTAAATAAAAGATAGCTCGTATTTCAAGAGACAATGTAATATTTTCGATTTTATTTTAGATTACTGTATGTTAACACTACTTATATATTTTCTTACGTTTCATACTACATATAATGTATGTATATTCGCTATTTCTCATAAAATATACATGAAACCTCTCTCTGCAAAGTTTACAATTATTTTTCTAATGAACGTTTTAAATATTTTGCGAGAAATGTAATTTGTTTTTCAAAAAATAAATTATACTTTGATTATAAACTTAGATGAATTTATATTATTATTATTATAATTATAAAGAATTAACTTAAAATGAAAGTTCTGAAACATCAAAGAACCTAACTTATCAATTTATAATATAAACCTCACAAATTGCAAAGGAATACTAAAATACTAGTTTGGATAACTGTATAAAAGATGAATGAAACAAATGTCTCGAATTATACTTATCACACATTTGAAAATTTGGTATAAATTGTTTTATTTTACCTACCTTTAATTGGATATCCAAGGCAACGGCAACAGCACATCACTAAGCACAAAACCGTGATTAATATCTTCATATGCATAACTTGTACTTGCTGTTAAAGAACATTCTTCATTGTATATGAAGAGAGAATTGAATTTAGTGTTCACTGAAAAAATTATAAACAAAAATGTTTTGAAAACCATATGTCAGATTTAATAACAATTTATGCTTTTCAGAATTTTCTCATATAAGTTATAAACATACATTTCAATAACACGAATGCACGCTTTTTAATGTTATCCATAGATGCAGAATTTTCAATGAGATTGTCATATAACAGCATAGCAGCTGATACCTTCTCTTTACGTGTTAATGGTTACCAGTGAGTGACTTTGACCTTATTGGAAAAAGAACATTAATAGTACAGACAACCCGACTTACGTTTCCGATTTCTAACTCATTTCATACTAGAGCAAAAAATCAATGTTCCATTCTGCTACTTGCTTTTCGGAGGGGCGTGAGTTGGTCACGAAAATTTGCCATTCAATTTCCTTATACTTCAAAACTGACCACTCCTAGCATCTCCTATTGCATTTGCCTAGCATAATGGAGAAAGCGCTTCGAGAAAATGTTTTCTCCAATAATAAGCTCACGCAAGTGTTTCAAAAGCATTCGCAAAATTCAATTCTACTCCTATATTTTGCCAACGATTTCGCTTCCAAACAGGAGAGAAGAGTAAAATGTTTATGGAACACAGTAATCGAAATCTTTAAAGTTAATCTTAATTAACTGAATATAATTTTAAACTTGATAAATTATCATAAATAGCGGAACATTTTACCATTATGATTCATGCGAGTTATGAACCCAGGTAGATAAAGATAAGTCAATATTGTCCTCAGAAATATATTTTTGTTAAATTTAGCAAAAGCATTAACTATTAGTTAATGAAATTTCTGTATTTTACGTGAAAACATCAAATATCAGATTGAACTAAAAGTTGAAAATGTAGCCATTTGCCATATATGCTATGCTTGTTATTTCCTTTTTAAATAATAAATAGAGGTCATAACACATATAAGTGAAATAATTTTTATAACGTCTGCTTTGAAATAAAATTTCAATAAATAACTATACATTCAAATGAAATTACCTTTTTCCAAGACTAAAATATGAAACATTTGCCGTCGTCTTTTGCCGCTCTTTTTCTAAGATGTCGAAGACAGAAATGTCAGTCTAGCTGCATTAACTAACCACTTTTAACACTTATTAAAGAAGGAAATTATTTATAAATCTACGCATATTTTAGTTTTCAATACTCTATTTTTGAAAACATTTAAATTAAAATTACGAAAGAGTAGCATTTTTTAGTCCATGTTTATTTCATAATCCATGTTTATTTCATAATTTTTAAATTCGATTAAATCTATATAAATTGTATCATGCTGAATAACTGCGTTTGAAATATGATAAAACGGAGAAAATACAAATAGTCTGTAAGAGTTAGTGTTGTTAGTTAATACGCTAATAATAATAAAAGTTTGGTAAACAGTCGCCATATGCAAGCAAATTGAAGAAATCGGATTTAAGAAAATATTAACGTTCTGCAGATATTTTTCTATAAAACACTCTAAAAAATATATGTTCCCAGAAGAAATCGAGGCACAATCATAAAACTCGGCAGGAATGTAGACTGGTAAGAGATATGCCAATGATTTAAATTTCGACGCCAATGAGACAAAGATAAGCGCGCTATGCGCATATGAGATGATCAACTGGGAGAGCTTAAAAGCATGATTGTTTGCGCCGTAGGGCTATTCAAACGGATCTGTCAACTTTGGTATATGATAATGGGACTAGAAATGTCTCCGAGACGTAACCAGGGGCAATACGAATACCAGGGGCCTTTGTCGGAGTTTCAGAAGGCAGGTATAGTAGGCATCAGAGAAGAAGGTTGGTCGAAGAGTAAGTAAGTTGGTCGAAGAGAAGTAAAATATGCGAACACATCGGTCGGAGCGATTAGGTAGTTGCTAGATGTTGGTGACAATGGATCACGAAAGGCATAGTCTACCGTCGCTGAAAGTCAGGGCGTCCTAGGAACACAAATGTACGCGAAGATCGCGCAATCATAATAACAGCCGCTTCTGTACCAGTGTTACTGGATTTTTGCCGAACTCGGGCAAGCTGACGTGTGACCGACAGGTGAATGCAGGGCCCGGACTTCTTTATATGACAAATCGGGTGTCGTCCGGTACCCGCACCTATCTAGAACAACACAACCCTCGCGGCTTCCCGAAAGGGCTGCATCGGGAATTTATTAATGGAGAATATGAGGTTTTGACGTGGCCAAACAAGGGCGTATGCATATATGCTTCAGCATACAATTAATAAAAATGCCATACATAGGTACATTGGCTAGTATAGGTACAATGGATACATATGTGTGTTGGCCTAAGTGGTTAATGAGATAGGCAAACAATAAACATTTATACATTAAAAGAAATGATACACTGACAGTGCAACTGGCGCATTAATGCAGAAGATGACAAATAACGATTACGCGTAATCGTGTATCATCCCTGTATGACTATGCATAAACTACTAGAAATGATATATGTAAACACTTAATCAGTAATAGCAATGATATTCTGACATGCACAGTAATACGAATGATGGCGATAAATGAAAACACATAATCATGTATTATTCTACTGGGCTATGCACACATCAATAAAAATGATACACACCTATACATTGACAGAAATGATACACTGAGAATGAAAATTGTGCATCAGTGTGAACGATGACAATTAATGATTACACATAATCGTGTATTACCTTACGTGGCTATACATATATTAGCACAAATGATACAGTTAAATACTTATACATTAATGGAAATGAAATACTGAAAATAGCACTTGAACATTATACGATAGATGAAGAATAATGGTACACGTAATCGTGTATCATCCTATGTGGCTATACATACAGTAGTAGAAATGATACACTTAAACATTTATACATTAATAGAAATGGTACACTCTGACAATGAAATTTGCACATTAATACGAAAGATGGCGATTAATGATAGTACATAATCATGTACTATTCTACTGCGCTATGCGTACATGAATAAAAATGAGACATTTAAACACCTGTACATTCACAGAAATGTTGCACTGAGTGTAATACTTGTGCATCATTGCGAAAGATGACAATTAATATATACACATAATAGAAAACAGATTCCGTGCTACGGAAGGCCTATTCTGCGTTCCATGGTTGAAGACATTATTGAAGATAAAACTGCAGAACTTCAAGATAGAGTTTCTGCTGTCGAAGAACAAACTGAAGACAGAATTTCTACCGTGGCCACCAAGGAAGTTGACGGTTTAAGAAGACTATAAAACAGCTGGTCACAATTCTAACATTTTAAAATTCGAATATATATCCTCCCCACCCTTTCTAAAGCTATCCGCATAGGATGGAAGGACTTCCGGAAATGTTTACAACACGCAGTTCAGTATAGTGGCAATTGTAAATGGATAGGATTCCGAAGCTAAAGCCTGCCCATTTCACTTTTTTCTGAGAGCAGACGCAGCAGATATCCTTCCAACTCTGCCCGAAAACCACAAGCTAGAATCCAGTGCGTTCAATCTGCGCTTTGGGAAGAAGTGGCTAAGAGACTATAGCAGACTTTAATCAAAATCTCCTCAACTGAAGCTCCAAGAAATACAAAACATCTCAAAAACGCAGATGTCAAGGATCTGAAAAGCGCTTAAGTGTATACCACGATATTCGACGCACCTCAGCAAGCAACTAGTAGAGACCGCCATTCAATCAGAACTGTTCAAGTCCAGAAGCCAGTGGATTCACAGCTCGTATAGACGATTTAATCAGCAAGTCAGTGCCTTGATACGGAATAAGAGCGACAAGAAACAGACCTCAAAATATTAGAACTGCAGTGCTGATGGATGCATACGAAAGAAATCCAGAACACCCCAAGGCACGTAAGTTAAACCTTTCCTAGCAAAAAGCGAGGGAAACTAATTAATGGCAATATCGCGAGACAGAGGTTGCGAGATAGTGAAAACCCCATTCTAAAGCGCTTCAGATTTCTACAGTGGGTGGTGGCAGTAATGGGCTTTATATCATGGGACGTACCAATGGAGATCCTTTTTAAAAATGAACCATTAACATCATGTTTGTAAGTGCCACCTACCACACACAGCATATGTAGGAAATATTTCTGACCTTTTTATACCAGGAAGAGACTTTATAAGAAATACACTTGTTTCCTTGGAATTTAAGAATCACGAACTGCATTGTAACTCTGAGGGTATAACTCTGTTTGTAATTAAAGATGGAGGAATTAAATACGTCCAACAAAAATAGCTCAAGACGATATCACAATATCAGCGAGAACAGAATTTTATTTCCTAGTTCCATAAGTGAAAACAGAAATTTCCGGTACGGCATCATGGAATATCCTAAGAACTATTAACAGCTCGAAAGGTGTACTAGTAGCCTCAGCATTCGTCGACGTATTGAGGACCATTATCACGGTGAGAGTTGCCAACGTAACCGATAAGGAGAAATAAATTAGGAAAGGTGAAGTGGTTGCTGCGCGCACTCCTATGACCTACGTTTAAACGAAACAGTAACTCATCAGAATCTGTGCTTTCGGAGAGCCTATCATCTGTGTTGTTGCAAAATGCATAACTAACCGATGAAGAGAGAAAATGCTGCAAAATATACCTTTCAAGAAGTATTTTTTTCTACTTATCTTCTGACGTAGGCCGAACCATTTTGATAGAGTATAGAACTGATGCAAGACATTATCCACCAATTTAGATCTAAAACGATGGTGAATCTAAAACGAAAGGCGATGGTGGTCCACCTATTAGGTGCCTCCATAATAAAGAGACCACCACATCCGGTCTTGTATAGATTAATGGACTGGGTTGTACTTGTAATTGTTCACAATCTGCCATTGGAAAAAAAGATCTAAAACGTGTATTGAGTCCTAAACAGGAAGAAGTAGGAAAACTTCTAAAGAACATGCAAGAGGAGACGTCGAACCTTCGGCAAATCCATGAGCCTCTCCCATCCATCTGGCTAAAAAGAAAGTCGATTTATCAACTAGATATTGCATTGACCTGCGCTTGTTGAACGAGGTTAAGAAGAAAGCTGGCAACACTCTTCTGAAAACTGACAACATTCTGGAAGCAAATGGTTTTCGAAGTTTAATTTATAGAGTGGATATTGGCAGTTATAAATACATCTTGATGACCGAGAAAAGCCGCCTTTTACTACCGAACAAGGAATTTGGCAGTTCATGGTGATGCCGTTTGGACTATGTAATGTACCGGCGACATTCGAAGACCTCACGAAGACCGTGTTGAGAGGCCTTTCCTACGAAGCCTGTCTGGTACACCTGGTCATCATGGTCGGGAAGAGTTTTAAGGAACATTCAGAAATAACTCAGAAAAGTATTCCAAAAATTGAAGGAAGCTAATCTAAAATTAAGCCACCTCAAAGTGTAATTTGTTCAGAGAGGAAGTGACTTACCTCAGACATGTCATCTCTGCCGAAGGTGTGTGTACGGATTCGGAAAAATTGTCAGCAGATGAAGACTGGAAACGCCCTTAGAATGTCGATTAGCTGAAAAGTTTCTTGGGGCTTTGCACGTAACATATGAGAGTTTTTAAGCACTTTTCTTCCATCGCAAGACCCCTTTCACAAGCTTACGCAGCAAAAAGCAAGCAAAAGTTCTTGTGAAGAAAGGAATGTGAGGATGTATTTAGCAAAATAAAGGAAGCCTTTAATATCTTCCACAATCTTAACTTATCCTCAGCTAGATAAACCATTTATTCTTGACACATGCGAACGCGAGAGAATCGGTGCTCTTTTGTCTGAAGAAATAAAAGGTCATGAACGTGTCGTAACGTACTGGAGCAAGTATATATTTAAACCGGAGAGGAATTACTGTGTTACCAGGGAAGTGTTGCTAGCCATATTTAACGGCGCAGAACATTTTCATCTTTATACTTATGGCAGAAAATTTCTGGTCCTTACAGATCATGCATCGTTGACTTCGCTATTAAGTTTCAAAAATCCCGAAGGCCAAATAGCCAGATGGATACAACGTCTCCAGGAATATGACATCACTCTGCAAATTTTTCGATATAGGCAAAACTCAAACGACATCTTTACATCTGCGATCAGACGGCATGGTAGAGACGTTTAATCGAGCCACCCTTAACAGCCTCTCACTGACGATTCCCAGAAACCAATAAGACTGGGACTAGAAGTTGCCTCTATTCTTACATGCCTACCGCAGTGCTATCCACGAGACTACTGACTATTCCCCATTCCATATGCTCTTCAATCGTGACCTTCGTCTGCCTTGTGATGTTTTCTTTGATCGGTCCCCTTATGTGCCTCCATCGCTTGAGGAGTACATCGAAGATCCTCTGGCACGATTTGAAGTGATGCAGAGTTTTGTACCAAAAAGGATCAGCTTAACGACGGAGAAGATGAATACTCGATATTACACGAGAGCTACAGAATATCGATTCGACGAAGGTGACAAAGGGGTTGGAATCCGATTCCTCAGAAAGGACTCTATCCTAAACCGACTATGGTCTTATTTGTGTACAAATCTGTAAATTTATGCATTTATTCATTGATTTAGTATTCAGTTTCTTTAATTTTATATACTGAAATTGTTCTTTTTGTATTGCATTTTTGTATTTTCCATAGTTGTAATCAGGGATTGCACTTCCCGGGACGTGGCCGCAACATTTTGCGATTATTCTAAAGTATACGGCCTTATTACAATAAGCCTGAAAAATATCAGGTTGATTAGAAATGCTTAATAATTTCTCGTATCGTTGGACGCAATGCAAAATTACTGCTCTTTGCAACACGCCGTATTTGTCAGTTACCCTACATCATGAATGTCATTTTTAAAATATGTGCATATAAAAATATGTTTTTATTGAATAAAAAGCAATTTTTCATGGTATTCACACAAAATTTGTAAAATAGCACAATTAATTTCTGGATATCATTTTTACTAAGTAATAAGCAATCGCATTAGTAATTAAAACAAATTTCGCTATGATGCCAATTTGTTTCCAATCATTTATAAATAGACTGGATTAACGTTCATGACAAAAGTTATGGTACATTTAGATAATTTTATTGATAATACCGTAGAAAATATTTTGATCTTCAATCAATGCATAATCTTTGAGGGATAAAAATTTATTATTTTTCTGGCTTTGATATAGCATTTAAAATGCAGAGCAGATGCATGTATATCCATCATTATTCATTCCGCCGTAGTAGTCAGAATTTCATTTTCTTTTTGAATTTTTTTAATTGAATTTTTGAATAATTTCTTTTTGAAGCTTTTTTTTTTGTGTGTGTGTGTAGGTGAGATAGATCTTTAAAAAATGTTCTAACTCGTTGCTTATATTCTTTTCTAAAATAATACAATCCTTTCGACTGTGAATATGAAAATGTTTGATTCAGTATTTTCGAATATTCTGCATTTAAATATATAAATATCACGAAAACAACTATAAAAATAATTTTATTAAGTCAACGAAGTTCAGAAGTAATATAAAACTTGTCTTATAAATTACTGAAACTTCAGATGACTTAAGGTACATTCCAACGTAATGTTAATTTTTTATTGTTTCCATTATTACTGAAATTTTGCATTTGAGAACAAACCTATCAATTTATACAAATATAAAATAACAATCATTATTTATTCATATTTTGATATTACCAATCACTCTAACTTTAAGATACTGAATAACTAATACGGAGTTATACAGTAAATGACGAGAGAAGAATCATACTGAAATGAAATTTTAGGTTAGTGATAGTTATCTTATAGCAAATTATTTATTGTAACACGCAATAATCCTTAATAATATGACATTTCTTATAGTTACATATGACAAAAACGCTTCACCACATGCTTTAACAGAGCTTAAGGGACTAAATGTTGCAATAGAAATTAAATTACCGGTAGTACGGATCACATTCATGTGCACAAAAGCTTAGAAATACACTCATGTCCATAAATTAAGGATAATTCGGAGTCACGCGGAAATCGAACTCTAAAATAAATATATCACCTGTAAAATCACTACACACATCTTCAAGAATCATATGCAAATTTCACGAAGTAACCAGATGACACCGATGGTGCGTCACAATGACGAGAGTGTAAGAACGTGATATATAAGGAATACAGGCAAAGAAGTAAAATTGTTTGCAGGCGCTTTATAAGCATTTCAGTGCAATAACCGAATAGTTATGACACAAAGGACGCATTTGGATGATTTTTTTACGTGGTAGAATTACCGGCCGTCTGGAATGTGGGCGTACCCAACTGGAAGTATCAGACGAACTTGGAATTGCCCAGAGTGTCATCTCCAGGCTTTGGCAACGATTCAAGATGATGGTAATGTGAGTAGACGTTACAGCACAGGTCGCCCCAGAGTTACAACGCCGAATGAGGACCGGTATTTGGCAGTTACTGCCAAAAGAGACAGGCGGGGCACAGCCTCAGACCTGTGTTGTCAGCTCTCTTCAGCCACTGGTACGACAATTTCAAGGCAGACCATGTACAGACGCTTACGGCAGATTGTTCTATATGCTCGTAGATTTGTCAGATGCGTTCCACTTACTGCAACTCACTGTCGCCTGCGGTTAGCCTGGAGTAGAGAGCATGCATTGTGGACCCCGCAACAGTGGGCTTGTGTGATGTTTTCCAACGAGTCCAGGTTTAGCTTGCAGTCTGATTCTCGCCGGATTTTCATATGGAGAGCTCCAGGTATCCGTTACCACCAAGAAAACATCATTGAACGACACCGTTACGGTGGTGCAGGAGTGCTCGTTTGGGGTGGAATTATTCTGGGTTCCAGAACTGACCTGCATGTTCAAATTGGAACAATGACAAGCCAAATCTATCGGGACGTCATTCTGGAACAACATGTACGTTTGTTTCGGGGCGCCATGGGCGCACAATTTGTGTTTATGGATGACAACGTCCGTCCTCACCGTGCAATCATCGTAAGCGAATGCCTTCAATCGGAGGATATCACCCGTATGGACTGGCCAGCATTCTCAACGGACTTGAATCCAGTAGAGCACGTGTAGGACATGCTTGGCCGACGAGTTGCAGCCCGTCAACCTCCTCCTACATGTCTACCGGAACTTCGGAGAGCATTGCTTTTTGAGTGGTGTAATATCCCCCAAGATCAGATCAATAATTTGATACTCAGCATACCTAGGCGTTGTACGGACTGTATTGCATCGTCTGGGAGACATACAGTGTATTAACAATCATGCCAACCATGTAATATTTTTTTTTTTTTATTAATTTTTTTTTTTTTGTAATTTTTTTTTTCTTGGAATTTGCTGCAGGGAGAAAAAATCGCTAATTTTTTTAATAATATAAAACATATAGCATCTTTTTTTGCTCTTTACCTTTTGTTTAACAAATAAGCTTTACAAATAAGTCAAATTTGTTTTGCTTCTAACTCTTCCTTTGTCTGATTTTGCATTATCCTTAATTTATGGACATGAGTGTAATACAATTTTTTATTAGCTGTGGCTGCAATTATTTTTCTACAGAAAGGGTCGAAAACAGCTTATTTATTTGAAATAGTCCTAAAAATTACAAAAACAGATTATTCCAGACAACCTAAAATGCTTTTAGGTGATAAAAACACTTGACTCTTTATTTCGCTGTACCTAAATATAGTTCGCGTTTAAAAACGAAATGTTACAACATGCAAAATTAATATTTTCTTCATTGCTTTAAATCATGTGAATCCTAGTTTCTTTTCTATAAATTAAAACTTCAAAGGTTAAGCATCACATCTGAATTTTCAAGGTTGATATATCAGCAGTTGCCCTTTAGAAAAGTTATCGCGCATTGTTCTTCAGAAAAGGTTGAATCTACTCCAGGCCATTACCTAAGCTTCATATATTAAGTATCAGTTTCTTTGAGATGTATTAAAAATGAGAAAACATGAAATCGCTAACAACGAACTATGCGTGACACCAATTTTTTCATTTAATCGCATTTAGGTAAGCTCCGCAGCTTGAATTATTACGAAACACTTCCACTATAGAAATCCTCTCCGTATACTTTCAGACGCTACTCTGCGTTAGCGCTGTATTTCCATTTTCATTTTGCATTTGGTCCTTTTGTAGAGAAGGCACACTTTCTTCAGGATCCGTCTTTAAAGGACTTTCCCTTTTCTTGCGGCATTTTATGCCAAAGAAAATGGAAGCTAATATGAGAATGCAAACTACTACCACTCCAATGATGATTTTGATGTGCAAGTTCGAACCGTCCTCTTTCTCTCGTTTCTTCAAAATGTCCAAAATCCTCTTCGTCCCTTCAGAGATATTAGACGGTTTCTGGGAAACAGGACTTTCTGTAGAGCTGCCATGAAGTGAAGATTCTGGTGCATTTGTGACGTGTTCATCAAGAACAGCTTTTCGTTTCGCAGAATCTGAGATATCTGTAACGTCAGGTGTCTTTACCTTTGTAGAATCTGATATAGCTGTAACATCTTCAACTGTTAGCTCTGTAGATTCTTCTTCCACATTTATCTTAGCTGGGATATCTGCAGAGCTTTTGGCATAAGATATCTTTCCCTTGGCTACCATGTCTTTCTCTGCATTGCCTGAAAAACAAACCACAACGTAAGTTTATTTATTTCAGTTTGAATTTAATAGTCTTAGTTTATTGTAAAATACATTTGCAATAGGACATAAGAAATTCAATTTGCCATTAATCAGCTTGAATTTCCTATAAACCCTTCTCATCTCATAACACTACAATATAAAAAAATATAACAGGAATCTACAATATAAAAAATGTAATTCATTAACACCTTGAGCGCAGCGTCGTTCCCTGGAGACGGACAGTGAAGTTTCGGTTTGCCTGGCGTCATTCACTAGTTTAATTTATAAGAAAATATTTATTTTTATTAGATTTTTTTCGCATGGCAGGCACTAGTAAAAGGCACAATATTAGGCTGATTGCCTTTTGGATCAAATCATTCATTTTGGTTACTGGCTTCATTTAGCACTTACGCCACAGCTGTCATTGTCGAGTTCTATTGCCTGGTCTAATGAATTATTATCTTCCAAAGATGATAATCGTAAAACTCGACGATGTCGACGTTTGGGTGATAAAAGTAATTCACTTGACATATCAATATCTCCTTCTTCCAGCACTTTCAAATCTTATGGGCAATAATTACTTTAAAAAACAAACCAAAAGTTTCTATTCTCAAATCATCTCTACACTTCCGTGGCTTTTTTCTAACTAATCGTCTTTTGAAGCTCGCCTTTTTGCCTTCGTATACGTGCGAATTGGCTGCTCCTTTGTTCCAGTTCAAAAAAAAAAAAAAAAAAAAAAAAAAAAAAAGGTGATGAAAAAAATTGTCTCCTATTCGTTCCCATCGCTGCTCGCTCGGTGCTGGCTAGACTAAAGACAGCAATATCGAAGCCACGCTCAAAGTTACGCTTAACACTGTGTTAAGAGATCATTAATTTAAAACTATGTCTATACATTTAAAGCTCTAAACGAGACAGAGATAATTTAACACTAATCAGGGATGATTAGAAGGGAAGTGAGTGATAAACTTGTGAAATAAAGTTAACTATAGTTTTTAGTTTTTATAGAGTTTCAGATTTCTCTTTGCAGTTTAAGAAGAAATCTTCATTTAAAAAAAAAATTACATTCTTTTTATAAATTGTAAATTTCTTTGATGTAATTATTAAAAACTATTCATTGCTTTTCGCCCTTTATTTAAAATAAATAGATATAATTATTTCCAATGTAAATGCTATACAATTTTTATTTCTTACCTGATACGTAAACTGCATTGTTTTTTAGGTTAAATATTTTTATTTATTACGTGCACAGTAATTAATCTTAAAACCAAATATACACTATGTATTTGCGTATACAATACTAACCCCAACATTTTTATAAAAAAATTTTGAGGCAAAAAGACAGTCGTTAAAATTATCATACACTGCCGTAATCTGAATCAATGTTAATAACAAAATCCGGATCTTGACGACAGGTACTTTTGCATTTTTTTGGGTATTTCCCTCTTTCAATGTTTTATAGCATTTTTGAAACTTTTTAGGGTATTTTTGGTGTATTTGAGAGTATTCTGAGGCATATTCTATTTATTAGATTGAAAAATAAAGCTATCCTTGAAATTACACTGTCTCAACTCCTATGAACACATCGTTCATAGTTAGGCATATCCTATCCACAGAAAAATAGCTTTTCTACTCCGGCATTTGTTAGGACTTTAAGCCTTTTTGTGCATATTCACTTTCACAAGATTACATGCACAGAAGAAAAAGATATTCCACATACACAGTTTTGGAATTTTACATGCACAGCTGTCTCCAACATGTTTTCCTACCTCGATAAAATCTCCTTTATTTTTTTTATTTATTTTTTTTTCTCAGTTGGTATAGTCCATCGGCAGTAAGTTGGCGAATGAACCTTGGATATTTTCATTTTTAAAAAAGACACTATCGGATTAGTATTGTCATCACAGCAAAAGACGTCTGGCGACCGCACGTTTCTCAAACGATTCTTTTGTCTCGAAAGTACAGCCGAAACGAGCTTTAAGAATCTCTGCTTCCTATGTCTTGTTTTCGCAATCTGCTCGAACAGAAAGTGTCCCTTCACATATCAGGCTCAAAATATAGCTTTTTAGGTTTAAAACAAAGCTTCCTTAGTTTTTCACGCGAGTTATACATATAAATTTTCTTACGTTATGTATGTTCCGCCCTGTTGTGACTAAAAACTGTGAGTTTCAAACTACGTGGAAATTATCCCTTATCTTGACAGGAAAAGCAGACAGAAGCATATGTCTCACACACGACAAGCATGAAACTAAAGAAAGTTCATTTGAAGTTGAAGAAGAGTTAACGCTAAGTGATCCTTTTTTTTTTCCAGGTATGCTCCAAAGCTGAAAATTCGGAAGAAAAAATGAAATTCAAGTGACAGGTATATATAAGTGTTTGAAATTTATTGCATTTGTCGGATGTATGTCAACTGCGTCATTTTTTATATTATTTTAATTATTTTTAATTATTATGTTTTATTTTGGGAGGAGGACATATTTTTATTTTTTAAGTTTATGTTTTATATATATCTATACAAATATATAATTATTATGTTTTATATATATCTTTACCATTTTGAATGCAGCTTTCAAACATTCCCTATTTATCATTACTTACTTCGAGAACTTTCTTTATACTTTTCATGATCATTGGTCAACAAACTGCTTCAGCCGTTTAGGTGTGAAGGTTGTAACACTCCAAAAAATTTTTTCGTGACCCGGTAAAAATGTTTATGGCTTATTGAAAAATTGAATTAATTCTAATTTTCAAATATTTTTCCTTTATCGTGAAAGTAACAAGAATACATATAAAAAAGTAAAACAAAATATAGTTTAATGGGAACTATGATGCTGTGTCTCATTAATTTAGAAGGCCTAGAGAAAATTTCCCGAACAGGTTGTTCCTAAATCTGGTTTGACCTGGTTTAAAGTCGGTTTCTGTATTTATTTTTTTAGAAAAATAACTGGCGAGAAGACTGTTTCACATTTGTAAGTGGAACCAAAAGGCATTATAAGGTTAACTGCCTTTTGTACCAAAAATGGATACTCTTGACGATAGAATATCCGAAACTCTACCAGTGGTATTTTGCTGAAGCTATCTTTAAGCACTGTATCACAAAATATTTTAATTATGGATTATATACATGAATCCAATAATTCCATCCCTAATTCTATATTAATTGCGAAAGATTTTATTATTTATACTTTGCTATTATGAATTAGAGAACAATATTCTTTAAGATTTGTATGCAATCCTCTTAGATGTTCTTTAACAGCACCTGAAGTTTCATCATGCATAGAACTGATGTTGTATTCTTTTTGCACTTCTGTTAGCGTCGTAAAAGTATTATAATTTCCTGCTTCCACATTAAGGGTCGACACATTGATGTATGTTTTATTGCAGCTCTTATCGTTCCTTGAACTTTAAATACAGTTACATTTTTGCCTTGCAACCAAAGATTCAATTTATTAATAACAGATTTTAAAAAGCAAATTTGGGTTGATGTTGATTTTGAAATCAGTTTGGAGAACTATCTGAACGTGCTACCAGTTACAACAGGAGAATACACGCTTGAAAGAATACACTCACTCCTTACGTTCTTTTCCCCCTTCTCCAACATGTAAACAGTGACTAGGGACGGGACCGAGAGCCAACTTACTTGATCTAAATCTACGCCAAACTCAAGGTTGTTCCGTTACTGTTTTTATAAATTTCAATATTAGTTCAATATTAGTACTCAAAAGTACAGTGTTATTTGTCTATCCAATGTATCCTCAGTTTTGAGTCTAGATGTCTAGACATTTTGGATTTAGATATAGATCAAACTCAAGGAGTGCCACCATGGTTATAGAAAAGTTTCCCGTTATAATTATTACTCGCTGGATTTGATGAATTCAATTTTCTTTAGTGTGTAGGGTTTATATTTATTTTAACTAACATTTATTTTAAGTTTAAACTATCTTTCCTGCCAAGCCTTACTTTCCCCTGGAATTGCCAATGCCAGAGTATGTAAATTTTCGTAGAACGCGCAAAGTATTCAAATTGTCATCGGAAGTATTTTGAGTTAAATAGAATGGAAACGAGTTCGAAAGTGTGCTTTCTTGCTTCACGAGCGTGGAGGTGGCTAGGTAGAAATTGAAGAACCACGCGTTTCGGCCTGTGTGCTTGCCTCGGCAGAGAGTTGAATCTTTAAACTTAATATTCAGAAGTTTGCTGAATTATCAGCGGTATCTTAGAACGCGGTTAGGTTAGTTACGTTTAGAGAGCCTCGTAGGTAGTCACTTGTTATTATTCATTTTTAATTTCTTATTTTTATTTTACCGCCGGGTCGGCGTAGCGTAGTTTGTGAGCGTCAAGAGCACGCATTCTGTAATTTCTAAAGTTGAATAAAAAGGGATTTAAACCCTTCTCAAGACTTTGTGTACTTTCTAGTTCTTAGCAGTCACCACTATTGTTGCGTGCAGGTTGGGGCCGCGCAACATTACAAGTGTATGAGTAAATTGAACAAAGTACGAATTTTTCCTGGTCATCAGTTATCAATTATATTCCAAGTTCTGGTAACCAAGTTCAGCTTTATCATTTTTATATTCTCCGTTGATTTAAAAAAAAAATAAGTAAATAAATTAATGCTGAAAATGCGTTTATTTCTTCCAATAACTAAACTTCAAAAATATCTAACATGACAGAAATTTAGTTTAAGAATTAGTGAGAAACATAAAAATTTATTACCTATTATTATTTATTATTAGTAATTATTTTTTATTCATTTATTAATAATTCCGATGTAACCTAATGTGCTAAATGCATGACTATTTAATGCAACTTACTCAATTGTATAGGCCTGTTAACTACAATTATATGTGTACAATACATACACTAAGCTCGATTACCAGCTTATATCGAATCAAAAACGCAATATATAATATAGAAACTTCAATTCTTACTGAGCTATATGTACGTGTAAAACGCGCGCTAAAAGAAGATATTTATGAGCGTACTGACACTGAGAACAGCTGTGAAT